AACCAAGGTGAGTTCTCAATATGAGCAAGCATCTGGAAAAATTAATTTCAAAACTAGGGTTAAGGATTTGGGAAAATCAATTGACGGACATAACACAACTGATGCTACTAAAAATCAATTGGGTACCCAAAATGGACCTAAATCATGGGTTAATATTGTGGGAGGAAACAAATTTGCGGCCAGAGGCATGGCATTGAAATATGTGGCCCCCATAAAAGATCGTAAGAAGGTTATACAATTAACGAAAGCTGATGTAAAATTAGAAACTGAAAAATGGAGGAATGTTATCATCCTGTATGTGGTAGGTGAATCGCCAACCATTGCTGCCCTGAAACGGTTCATTGCCTTCCAATGGAATTTTGCCGCCAAGCAAAAGGTGTATTACCACAATGAGGATTCTTCCTGGTGCGTTTCAATTGCGTTGAAGATATAGATGTTGTGTTGTACTCTGGCCCACATACCATTAACAACAAACTTGTTATTAGGATCTGGACACCTGATTTCAATTTGCATGATGGAATTTTGAAAACTATGCCACCGTGGATAAAATTGCCAAACCTTCCCCTCAATTGCTAGAGTAGTGAGGCATTAAGCAAAATTGCTAGTGGTTTAGGAGTTCCATTGTATGCAGATAATTGTACTACTAACATCTATAGGATATCATATGCCCGCTTGTTGGTGTAAATGGATGTAACAGTACCTCTACCTAAAGTGATTCAAGTAGAGGATCCAAATGGGATACAATTTGGGCAAATTATCTTGTATAATTGGAAGCCCGACTTTTGTGGAGTGTGCTTGCAGGTGGGACATGAATGCCAGAAAAAAAGGCCACAAAAACAGGAAGCAAAGGCTACCAAGCAGACCTACACAAACAGACCCCCACAACAACAGAAATGGCAATACAAAGGGCCAGTGGTAAAAAAATAAGAATAAAGAGAGAGGAAAAGGATAAGAATCCTACACAGCCCCAACAAGTAAGCAAGACAGTTTCTAGCTTGATTACCAGGTTGGAGACCCCAACAGATGATAAAGCACAAGGGGAAGGCTGGAAAGCGGTGAGAGGTAAATCTGCAGTAAAACCATCTCAACCAAACGGAGGACACATAGGGATGCATACAACTAATGGGTTCAACATACTTGAAGGAGGTAGCCAAATGGGACATACATGAGAAGGTCAGAGTAACAAAGGAAGTATTTCTGGTAACAATCCCTACTCTTCCCCACAAGTATGAATCTAATAACATGGAATGTTAGGGGACTGAATAAGCTTTAAAAGCAAAGGGAGTTGAAAAAAGAACATAAAGTTAGTTGCATAGCTATTACTGAGCATAGAGTCAAAGAAGAAAATGCAGAAAGCATAATAAAGAATGTGGCACCTAGGTGGAAATGGTACACTAACTACTTAGCAGGGAACATAAGCAGAATCTGGGTTCTTTGTGATCCAAATGCTATTGAGTTTATAGTAATAGACACACATGTACAACACATTCATGGGAGAATCAAACTCATTGCTTCAAACACTGCATTCCTTTTTACAGTAGTCTATGGGCTACCTACCGTTGAAACAAGAAAAGCACTATGGAATGAACTATCCAATGTACATAATGGAGTTATAGGAGCATGGATAGCTATGTGAGACTATAATGCAGTCCTGCACAAAGAAGATAGAGCATGTGGCAATCCAGTCCAGGACATGAAAATGCGGGATTTCAGAAACTTCCTTCAGAACACTGGCATGAGAGTTGCAATATGTTGGTACGGAATTCACATGGACGAACAATAATGTTTATAGTAGGATTGACAGGGCAATGGTAAATGATGAGTGAATGCTAACAATGCTTGCTCAGGAGGTACTGATAATGGACCCATACTTCTCGGATCATACTCCTCTATCTATCCAGATTATGAATAAACCAACAAGAAGACCAAAGCCTTTTAGATTCTATAATTACATGGCAGAGGATCCTGGCTTTCAAAATATGCTAGAAAAATACTGGTACACTCCAGTACGCAGTGATGAGATGGAAAAGGTTTGGGCAAAACTACAGATAATAAAGTAAAACTGAAACAAATCAGTATTACTACTTTTAGGGGGATGCAAACGAAGCTCAAAGATACCAAAGAACAACTTAAAGAAATACAGGCAAACATGAGAAACATTGGCCATGTTGTTGATCTGTTTGACAAAGAAAAAGAGCTGAAGAATCAATTAGAAAAATGGGGGAACCTGGAAGAAAGCATATACAAACAACAATCCAGAAATCAATGGTTAAAATTAGGGGACTCCAATACAACCTTCTTTCATGCTAGTTTCAAGGATAGGTGTACACAAAATAGGATCATTAGATTAGTGAACCAATTTGGGGATCTGTTGCATACAAAGGACCAGATACAAAAAGAAATTACAAGTTTATATAAAAGCTTACTCGGATCAACAACATCACAATTACCTTCCATAAACCCAACTGTGATACAAAAAGTGCCTATACTACATAGAGACTAACAATTGATGTTTTGATAAAACTAATTACTCCAAAAGAAGTTTACCAAACTCTTTGTGGCATAGATGATTTGAAAGCATCAAGCTGTGATTGATTTAATTCGTACTTTTTCAATAAGTCATGGACGGTGGTAGGATAGGAAATCACTGAAATAGTAATGAAACTTTTTGAAATAAATGAGTTATACCAGCCTATCAATTGTACCTCAATCACTCTTATACCAAAAGTGAAAAATCATATATCTATCAGAGAATATAGACCAATATTCTGTTGTACTGTGGTATAGAAAATTATATCAAAGCTACTCACTAACATGCTGCAAGATGTTATGGATTATTTAGTAGATGGAAGCGAGTCAACCTTTATACCAGGTAGACTAAGAGTAGACAACATCATTCTCAGTCATGAGCTGATAAAAAGGTATGGGAGGAAAGACATATCTCCTAGGTGTGTGATTAAGTTGGATATGCAGAAAATATATGATTCCCTGGAGTGGAGTTTCTTAAAACAAATATTGATTAACATGAACCTCCCCACCAAATTTGTCAATTGGATTATGGTCTGCATAAGTATTGTATCCTACTCTATCCTGATAAATGGGAGTCCCACTAAGCCTTTCCCTGCTAGAAAAGGCCTAAGACAGGGGGACCATCTATCCTCCTTTTTTTTGTTCTAGCTATGGATTACCTGAGCAGACCGATGAAGACCCTCCAACATAAATCCAAACTTCAATTACCATCCAAAATATGAAAGGCTGAGGGTAGTGCAACTAAACTTTGCAGATGACTTACTCCTCTTACGTAGAGGAGATATTACCTCAATACAATTACTTTATGACTGCTTCAGTAATTTCTCTAGAGCTTCAGGACTCAAATCAATTAGAGATAAAAGCTCCATTTATTTTGGAGGGATGGTCCAGGCACTACAACAAGAAGTCCTTGCCTATTTTGGTTTCACAAAAGGGGACCTCCCAATCAAATATTTGGGAGTACCACTGAGTACAAAAATGATGCCTATAACTCAATACTAACCTTTGATATATAAGATGTTAGGGAGAATCACGTCCTAGACTTCAAAGTTCCTCTCCTATGCTGGGAGACTTCAACTCATCAGAAGTGTTCTATTTGTCATCCAAGTCTACTGGTCGCAGATTTTCATACTACCCAAGAAGGTGCTAAAAATAATTGAAGCTATATGTAGAAGCTTTCTACGGAGTGGAGGGGCAAAGATATCAAAAAGAGCATTACTAACCTGGGAAAAACTATGCTGCCCAAAGATGACAGGAGGATGAAGCATCATGGACATTGCTACATGAAATACATCAGCAATATGCAAATTGATGTGGTTTCTATGCCTTAAGAAGAATAAACTATGGGTAATATGGGTGCACACCTACTATATAAAGAGTGACAGGTATGGGACGCTGAGCCAACACAAGATTCTTGGATTATAAAGAAATATATAGAAGGCAAAGAGAATACTTGAAGATGTAAGGCTGGACAAAAATGATGTGATGCAATTGAAAACATTCTCCATACACAAGATGTACCTCAAGCTTAGGGGTGACTTCCAAAAAGTACCGTGGAGGAAGCTAATATGTAATAATATAGGAGCTCCAAAATGGCTCTTCATCCCGTTTCTGGCATTACATGGCAGATTAAGCACAAATGATAGATTGCACAAGTCGGGGGTGACAAATAAGATGCTATGTACACTATGTAACGAGGAAGAAGAATGTATTTATCACCTATTCTTTGGATGCAAATTCTCTACAGAGGTATGGGGCAAAATACTTAAATGGCATGGTATTTACAGACAACCGATGACTTGGAGCAATGAACAAGTATGGGCAGTCGCACATGCAAAAAAAAGAATGCAAATGGTACAATCTACAGGATGGTTATTGCAGGCTGCGTATACTTCATATGACAAAAGAGGAACATGCATATATTTCAAGTAATACATAGTCAAGCTGATCAACTTGTGCGTGTCCTGATTCAGGAGATTCGCTGTAAGGGATCTATGAAGCCTAGAATGCATAAGAGATTGGAAGAGTTGAATTTCTACCCATAGGTAGGCCTTGGAAAATAGACAAATCAGTTTAGTAGGGTGTACTGATTCTTTTTGACTCTTAGCTTCAGGTAGTTTATATGGCTCACCAAGTCTTGGGGCAGCATGTCCAAGCTTGGTTTCTCATAGAGTTTCAGTATAGATTGTAAATATTTTTACAGGTTATTAATACAAAGAAAATTTGGACGAAAAAAAAAATCTACAAGCAGGTGTAATTTGATAAAAATTATACAATACGTTGAAAGTTGAAATACGACGGTCTTACTTCTTTCTGGGGTCAAAGTAAGCAGAGAAGAAGTCAAGGGTCCGAAAACACGAATCTTCTCAGATGGGGGACCAAAGAGGAAAAACCAAAAAGTTGAAGCACTAAAACAGAATTCTTCAATTTTCACAACTCAAACTCCTTTTATTTACCAAAAAGAAAAACACTTGCAGAAAACTCTCAGCTGAAATTTCATTCACTTCCCATCGAAGAATCACAAAGCTCAAAACAGTAGGAGAATCGATTCTTCGACACTGTTTTCTACATTTGTTTTTATATATACATGTAGCTCTCTCTCTCTCTCTCTAGCTCATCTGGTTCATTCCTCAAACTGCCATCAGGTAAAAACCCTAGTTTTGATCTTTGCTAATTGGAACCGTTCAGTAGTAATTAGAGTAAAAGTTGAGTTACGATTGATTAGTATTATATTTAGCTGTATTTAGTAGATTAAATTTTTTAGATTTTTCCTCGACTTGAAATAGTGAAAAGTTTGTGTTCGACCTTTAAAACACCAAAGCGCACTTATAGAGAAGCAACATTTCAAATTTGGTTAGGAAAACTTAACTGTGGTTGTAATAAATAGTTTTTTTAAAAACCCTTTTTGGGTTCTAAGTGGTTTTAGCTTCTTGTTTAAGAATGGAAATTTGTTGTAGTTTAGGGGATTTAATTGTATAATGAAACAATGGTAGGAATGATTTGTGACGAGGAGCAGTAAATTGTGTGGAAGAGGAATAAAGGGAAGCTCGGTGCACTAAGCTCCCGCTATGCGCAGGGTCCGGGGAAGTGTTGCAACCTTACCTTGCATTTCTGCAAGATGCTGTTTCCGCGGCTTGAACCCGTGACCTCTTAGTCACAGAGCTACAAGGGCGACAAGGGCGACAATGTTCACCGTTGCGCCAAAGCTCCCGTCTATGAGAGGAATAACTGGAAAATTTTACCTAAAAATTCAATATGGTTTAGAAGGGATTTTTTCCTGGAGAATTTCTGAATTAAAGGTTGAAATTTAATTAGAAAAGTTAGGGGGAGGGGGCTGTGTGGTGGTTTCCGCCCTTGCCTGGGACTCCTTGGTTCTGGGGAGTGGACTCCAGCAAGAGGTTCTTCTCATGTAATTTTGCCTGCCAGTTCATGTCCGTAGTGGAGGAAATGAAAGTCGAACTCATGATGCAATCTTCTTGACAAACCAATGGCGTGGATGGATATGAGAAGGATGAAGTTAAGCACTCGACCAATACAAGGGGCTTGCTCTAGAAAGCCACTAGCACCTTCATTAGTTGCTTGTTTCAGTATTGTGTACTACGAACTAATGGTGCCCACATGCTGTTGAGTTATTCTTTTGAAATGTTGCAACTGGGTGGAAGTTGGAAGTGGATATTTCGTGCTCTTCTTTTGTTTTCCCTTTCTTTATGATGTTTAATTGAATGTTGCGACCAAGTCATGGGGCCTTTGATAAGAGTTATGAGTTGCTAGATTTGACTTTTTGCAATTTTGTGTAGTTTGAGCAAGATGGCTAATCCAAATAATGTTGAGCTGGAGGCAGCAAAGTTTCTGCATAAGCTTATTCAAGAGTCTAAAGACGAGCCGACAAAATTGGCTACAAAGCTTTATGTGGTGTGTTTACATCTCTTATGTTGTATGCCTTTCAAAATTTGAGTTGCTTACGTGTATTAAGTTGTACTACTCTTGACTTAGATTTTACAACATATGAGATCCAGCGGGAAGGAGAACTCAATGCCCTATCAAGTAATATCAAGGTATAGTGTCTAAACACTATCCATATATTTAGAGCATTATAGAATTTCTTGCATATTGCCTGCCTTATTTGTTCCCAACCCCTTTATCAATTGTCTCTCTGTTCAGTAACGGTTCTTTCTATCATTGTCTTATTGTACTTTCCAGTTATGGTGGGAAGTATAAATTATCACTGTATAATGATAGTTGCCCATGATATTATGCATTCCTGGCTTAATAAAATGCATCCTAAAGCAGCGATTGGCTGGTTAAAACTAAAGCTACTGAAAAGTGATTGTCATACAGTTCAAAGTTCTCCATACCTATTCTGACTTGCCTGTACGGTTACAGCTCTCTTAACTTTCCTAATTACTGTTTTGTTGATTCAAGGGCCATGGAGACTGTTGTCAAGCAACATGGTCTTGATATTGAGGCTTTAATGTCCTCGCGTCTTCCTATGTCTGCGGGAGTGCAAGTAGGAGAAGCTGCATCATCACAAGTAGCTGGTAAAATGATATTTGTTTCAATTTATGTACTTCAGTAATATCTCAATGCAAGCATTTCAAGCTCATGTTTTGCTGGCTGTTCTTTCATATTTTACGAGTCGAGAGTGTTATTGCAGGATCTTCACAGAGGGCCGGGGTAACTAGAGAATCGAAAGCCAATTTGCTGGGAAACGAGATGGTAAAACCAGATGCATATGCGTCAAACAGTGCAGTTAGTGGTCCAAGCGGCAGTGGACATGGTATTTATCAAGCATCTGCACCACACATAGGTGGTAAGTGCAAAAGGAATTTGTCTGCTTATTTGCAAACATGGCAGATCATTCATATTGTCTGGTGTTGGAAACTAATATTCACCGAATAAAAAAAGAAGATTATAATGTGACAAAACATATGTAGATGGCCAATAAGCCTTTGTTACTTCGCATTTTCTACATTAAATTTATGATGGAGAATGGAGAAGAAACTGAAAAAAACAGATAACCATGTCTCATCGCCAAAAGATTTTAGTAGCTTTCTTCGCGAGCAATTTACTGTTTCTTCTGGATGATGTTATGGAACCACTTTGACGACTGACATTTTTTTGATAAAGCACTTTGACGACTGACATAAAATCAAGGAGAATGCTACTTTGAAAGGGTGGCTTGGCGGTCGAAGAGTTGGGGTACAACTAAGTGTACGAAAGTGCGAACATCTCCATTACTTTTAAAAACAAATTGAGGAGTTAAAGCCTTTGCTTTTGTTGATAAATTGAAACTTGAGAGTCAACAGATGGAGTTCATTAGCTCTTTAGTTCTGGCTTAGTTAGTTATTATAGACGCCAACTAAAGTTTTTTGCAAGCTTAAATGCTATATCTTGTACTCACCGCTTTTGCGTGATGCCTTTTATTGATATCACTTACTTCATCAAAAAGAGAGTCAACGAATAATTGAATTGTTGGACGAGTTCCTATTTTGCATAAGGAGCGAGTGAATGCAAGTTAGCCATTTTTTTGGAGGGTTTGATTATTTTGATAAGGTAAATAATTTTATTGATACTGGGAAATTCCAGAATATAAGTAGTATACCATAAAGTAGAGAACCTAGACCAAAATATTATTTTTCACAAAAGTCACCTAATCATCTATCCAAAAAAGAACCTCGTATTGCACCAAAAAAAAAAATAGAGACACAATGCTACTTCTCACATATACAAAAACATTCTCGACCCCTTCAAAAGCTCTCCTATTCCTCTTCCTCCATAATATCCACGTAGGTGCTAGTGGGGCACCATCTCATGCCTTGAGTATTTTCTCCCTTAAAGCCCGGCTATATAGTTCCTCTTTTACTGTACTCGGCATGACCCACTGTATTGTAAAACAAATTCAGAACCTCCCACCATGGGCAGTACCGCGGTAGCTACTTGACAATGTAATACGAGGTGATGCAGAACATCTACACATATGGCAACAACTGATATATGTGATCCTCATATTCCTTAGGTTTTCGGCTGTCATTATCGTTCTCCTACATGCCAAACACACAAAGAAACACAGTTTTCTGGTCGCCCTAGGTATCCAAATCGATAGATGCGGGAAATCCCTTCATCCCTCACGGCCTCTCCAATAGATTCCTGGTAGTACGATTTGACTGAGAATTGTCCATCCTCCATGTCTCCCATTTCCACATGTCATGCATTTGCAATCTATTCATGTTGTATGTTAATTCTACTAGGTCTTGGTATTCACCCATCTACCAGATCTTGTAGGTTCCTTCTGAATGTGAGATCCTAATGTAAAAAGAATGCAACCCCCCTCATGTACCCTCTCGACTATGTTGATTGCTAATTTTTCCCACTTTGGCGGGGGTGGGGTGGCTAATGGATGCTTGTTATGCCATTTGTACCGGCCATTCCAAGTGTAGGAGCAATGTTAATATTTCCTGTTGAGCTGAGTGAAGAACTTTTCCTATCAGGAGAATGTATTGAAATTTAGTTCTGTTATCCCGTGCAATTTAATGTTGCAAAGTGCTGCTCTATTCAGGTACAGGCGTCAAAGTTCCTGTAATGGTGCCTTCTGCGTCTAATTCATCTCAGCCAGTAGAACCAGGAATTTCAAGTCCAGTGCAGTTTGGAAGTCCTTCAATTGATAATCATGGTTATGCAGCAAAATTCCACAAAGATGGAAGCACGGAACCTTTCTCTGGTTCAACCTCGGTTGATCTTGTTGCCGGCAGAACTGCAGCGGGAAGAGCACTAGAGCATGAAGGAGGATCTAGTATGTTGGGAAATGCTAGCAAGATCAGTCAGGTACTTATTTTCCTTATTTCCACTGTATCCTTTCAAATTAAGCTATATATTTGATGACATTTTTTTCCTTATAGCGAGCTTTTAGTTGTATGACAAAGATTTGTGAATGTGTCATCTGACAACTGCTATTTTTATGATATTCTATGTTTATTTGACATAAATAAGTCTATATTTGTTTTTACGGATTAAAAAAAACACGTGTTTAGTTTTGATGTTGGATTCACAATGTTTCTGCATTTGGTTGCTATTTAATTGCTGCTATACTTGCAACTTCGACCCGATACATTAGTGACAGGAAACACCTTTTTTTTTGGGATAGTTAATGGTAAGGGAGGAAAGTTCTTAGAGAGGCCATGCTACACATGCAGTTTATTATAAGAGAAACTAGCTATTGTAATGCTGGACTTTTTATTTAATTTGGTTCCGACCAGCTGGAAAGGATAATAGGAAAGCCAAGGCAGTTCATCTGGGAAGAGACAGATGGTTGGGGGAACATACCAAAGCATGAAGATCACATTCCTGTGGATTTAGCATCAGCATCATGTAAAATCTTTTTATAGGTGTTTCAAGAGCATCAATGGAATTATCACCAAAACCTGGGCTTCATAAATCTTGTTAAAAGTATCCTCTCTGGTTTTTCAAGTCGCGGAGCATTGGTCCTTTCGCCCAGAATGGCTGGAGTTGGATTCTCCACAAAAAGTGTATCTCCTGTGTGTAGACTTCTTCATAGTTTTTAGGAACATAATGGATTATCTGGTACCAGTTTGCAAAATGTTCGCTTTATATATTTTCCTACTTACAAAATATTTTAAAAAAATGGTTTGGAAGCAAAGGAGAAATCACAGTAACACGAGCATTGCTTAGAGTAAGTCTGGATGTAATAGAAAACAGTTATCCACATCATTTCACATATCCAAGTGTGAAATTTAATTTTTAATGGATTTAGCACAAGCATCAAATTGTGGAAGCTTATTTTCAGGAGGAACTTAGCCAATCTCAATAGGGTGCAAACTGCCTATGTCTTTTGGTGTCATCAGTTTCTTGTTTTTATGATGTTTGGAGATGATGGTAGAATTGTGGTTTTGTGACAACAACTTATTATGGATCTCTTCTGGGTACATATTTTGAACCTCATAACGAGAAGCATATTAGGTCGAACCTTGGCTGGAAGATCTCACTTAGACGCAATATTACTGACTAGGAAATGGATAACCTTTGTTCTTTGTTGCTCCAACTTCATAGTTTCCCCCATTTTCTTTCCAGAGCTCTATAAGGTGGAAACATGAATCTTTAATGTGCAAATGGCGCCATACCCTAATGGACATAAAGAAATCCCCTTCTAAGACACTGTAGCACACAGACACCCCACCCCACCCCTTCACCACCACCATCCGAGAGCCAACCCTGTCGCGACACTACCTCAAAAAGAATCGCCGGGATCTGACACCCCATACGCCGTCACGCGCGGTAGATCTCCGACCACCCCTAGCCCACGCGCCGGCGCGTGACACCTTTCCAGGCCAGATCCCAACTTTTTTCCTTCAGACAGCCTCTTTGCGAGGCTGTTCCGACCTCACCCATCCATCAACCTCCAACTTCCGACCACTTTTGCTATTTCCCGGCGACAGAGGTGTCTTTTTCCGGCCAGATTTCACTCCCTCTCACTTTCTCTTCTTCAGTCAGTCTCCTCGCGAGGCTCTTGGTTTAGCTATGACGGACTCTACAGAGAGAAGCTCCTACTTCTCCCTAGAATCTAGAAAATTGGAAAGCATGTCTTTTAGCAAAGCTGCATCATGGCCAGCTCTCGAACTTGGGGGAAGATGCCAGCGAAAGCTTGACGTAGGGCAGGAGCCACACTTCTCGTTGTCCGAGGAGCACACTCTCAGGCGTAAAGGTTTCTTGGACTCTTGTTTGATTGGGTCTTTCTCCAAATGGGTTGGTTCTCCAGAAGCTGTTAGGAACTGGGTAGCAGAGGCATGGAACGTCAAGGACGGGCTGAAAATATCGCAATTGGGGGACACGCAATATCTTTTTCGATTCGTCGACGAGTCTCAAGCTTCAGAAATTCTTGTCAGAGGAAACAAGTGGTTTGACGGGAATTTCTTAAAGTTAGACAGATGGGTGGAGCACGATGGGTGTCTCGACCCTCGTTTCGCTGGCGAAACATTGGTGGTCAACATGGTGGGTCTCCCGGTGCATCTCTGGTGTCTTGACCTATTCAAAAAGGTTGGGGAAATCTGTGGGGGTTTCATTGATGTCACTTGCAGCTTGCACGATCTCTTGCGCGTAAGGATTGTGGTGAGGAAAGGAGGCAGAATCCCTGTCTCCACTGTGGTGGAAGATGGCTACTTGAGCTACAGGGTTTGGTTGAGCCCTGAATTTCGCCCTATCTTTATGCCTGTGATTTTGGCGGAAGAAAAGGAAAGGTCAAATAGAAGGGAGGGAAGGGGAAATCAGTTTCCGAGGGGAGGGGAGGGCTCACCGGATCAGNAGATCAGTGGATTAAGCTGGAAATAGACGGTAGATCGAGAAGTGACGAGAGGTTTGATTTTGGGAGAAGAAGACAAAATTTTAACAGGAGGAAACGACGTGAATGGGTTAGTGATGCGGGCTGGAAAGGTAGAATGGGTCGGTACTCTTTTAACAATCATAGGGTCAGGAAAGATTTCAGCAAGCATAGTCCTGGGCCTCCACACATGGGCCCATCAACTTTTCCCAATTCTATTAGAATCGATCCAAAGGGCCCCAGTTTATATCAAGCTGCGTCCGTTAAGGCTCCTAAACATATGGGAGCAGTCACTCCTCCTTCTGGCAATGATGCCTCACACAGTGTTATTTCTTCACCAAGCACTAGGGACTTGTGCCCCTCTTCGGCCACTGTTCCAGGGGCAGCACCGGCTAAAGCTGGCGGTGTTATTCCACGGCCCCCCGCCTCTGATGGACCCAGCTCCATCGCCCCCTCATCTCCCACTGTGCTTAGATGTGCTGAGGTTACAATACAATCTCCTCCAAGAGAGGCATTAATTCCTGAGGTAGGTGCCTCTCAAAGAAACGACGTGATCCACCCGGCACCCAGAGTTCCTATTACTAGCAATGCTATGGTCTTGCATTCCTCCGGTAGGGGCAAGGAAAAGGT